CAAGGTGAAAAGCCACGAGTAGACTTTGTTAACATGATCGTAACGATGATTGCGGGCGCCTTCCTATTTACCGAATAGCAGGAAAATGGTCCTAAGAGAGTAATTTTTTGAAAAGTGTTCAAAGACGTGTATTACTTATCGACTCTAACGCATTGTTTCGTGAAATTGTAAACAGGTAAACGTAGTCAAGAGTCCCGGAGAGACGCTCTTTCTCTTTCTCTTCTTTCATCGTCGCTCGTCACGGCAGCGGTGCCCCAACCGGAAATACGCGACGGTGCTCCCGTTCCTCCCCTCTCCTGATTATCATACCGAAGCGTATATGTACGCGCGTTACACGGCGTAGTTACCTAATAATCTAGAATGACAGGACTGGCGAGCGTATAATGTATATATTTACCGAGTTCCACCGTCGCCACGTCGATGCAATTCTTTTTCGCGTCGAAACTGTTGACGCGAACCTGATGGTGATTGACGTGGCCGTTCGAGACGAACCTCCGGGGCGGATTCGCGGACGTCGGTGATCTCTCTGAAAATAAATGACGAGAACATTCGCGGCGTGAAACATAAGGTCTGTTTTTTTACTCCTGCGTCAGACTGCACTGGAACTTTCTTTCTCACTTTCGCCAAATATCAAGCATACATCTATCTCACTTTAAGTTCTAAAAGTGTATTTTCTACGGCTACAATTCAGCTACAAAAAAAAAACAGACCTATTATGCGAAGTGAAAATGCGCGCGGAATCTCGGAGAAAAGAGATTAACATTATCCGCGGGGGGAAAACGGGAGATCATAAGCGATTAGAGATTGATTGAAGAAAGCAGCAGGTGGTCGTCGATAGAGCCGATTTTACTGCGCATGATACACACCGGAAAGATCACCGTTATGCCAAATCCAACCCCTTCTACCTCGTTTGAAGCTGCCGAGACGCATCTTCGCCGAGTCTCGGGCGAAGTCCGTCCTCATCGGGACGGTCCTGTCCTTCGATCCTTGTTGGCCCATCTCGTCAGCTCCCTCCGTTCACCATCTATCCATTACAATCCATAAGTGAGGTCGTCCGTGATCCCCGTCGACGGCGGCGCAACTGGCCCCGCGCGCGTTACCTTCATCCTGCCGCCGTCGTAACTCGTGAGCCGAGCGTGAGAATCACAATCGTACGTGTGTATGCCGTCGTGTCGACGTTGTTCATCAGCATAAACAACGGTACACAACAGGTATATCTTCCGCCTTTCGGAGTGCCGCCGCCGCCACCACCGCCGCCGCTGGCGCCGATCGATCGCGACGCTGCCGTTCTCCTTCGGCCGCTGCTGTTATGTTATACTTGGTCCCGTATCGTGTATCCCACGTCGAACGTTATCTGGTTCCGGACACCCGACACCGATCGGCGAGGATCGTATGCGTAGCTCCGTTATGTCACACGGCGATCACGCGGCGACCTACGCGTGCCCTACCTCGCAAGCATACCCCGGCGTGAATTACAGCGTGCGAGAGATCACGAACAGCTCGCGCGACTCTGACGAGTTCGATCTACGATTTTCTCCCCTTCGTTAGGAACCCTTCGCGCGTGGGTTTCAGCGGCTGCCGATTCCGACGGCGCTTGCGTAAGGCCACGCGGGGCGGACCGAGGGACCGGTAGTCGCGTACCGACAGTCGTCGACCTTGGCAACGCACGTGGTCGTCGCTTGGTCGGGTACACCTGCTGCTGCCGTTGCTGCTGCTGCTGCTGCTGCCACTGATGCTGCTGCCGCTGATGAGAGTGGGGATGGGAAAACGGGCGAGGAAGGATGGCAGGCATCCTCACCGAGCGATGAAGGTGCACGACGATGCATCGCGAATCACGAAGGTGAGCAAAGGAAGCACGACGAAAAGGTCCGAGGTAGCCGGAAATAACGCCGCCGCGTGGCGTTGACCTGTGCAGTTGCCGACCGGTCGACGTGGTGCCGTTAAGGCAGATATCGTGGATCTGGGCGCAGGTGGACGCACACCAGGCGCAGGCTGCACCTTGCACGGGCACCTCACGTTTTACCGTTCACAGTGGGACCAACGCGATACGCCACATAAATAATCAGCTGTGTAACGGGGGACGTCGATTCCGTCGATGCGACAGGTAGTGGATAAGATGATTGATCGAGTTTAGGAGGAATAAAATCCGTAACAGAAATTCATAAAATGGATGATATGCAAGAATGTAGACTTTCACACACGTATAATTCGCACGCACGTGCTCACGCGCGCGCGCGCGCGCGAGCAGAGAGAAGGGCCAAAGGAACGCAACGGGGAAATAGGTCAGGGAAGAGGCGAGGCTTTGAAAACACTCTTGTCCTCGCACACAATCGCGTCGTCGAAGAACAAACGCGATTGTGGAACGAAATCGCAGTCTGGTCGAAGGTGTCACCACCGAGAAGGTGTTCAAACGAGAGTAAGAGAGTCAATTCAGTCCGGGCCACCGCCTGGTGGATGTGCCGAGCGCACTCCGGTAACTCGTTCGTTAACGAGACATCGGCTTTCAGCGGCTGTCCCTTCTTTCTCTCTCTCTCTCTCTCTCTCTCTCTCTCTCTCTTTTTCTGTCTCTCCTTCCCCCGTGTATGGGTACCTTACGCACCGTCACGCACTATCCGGTGACCCGATTTTAAGCGTGTG